GTACAATTCAGTACCATAAACTTGTGTTCTCAAGTTACCGTGGGTGGCCAGCCAACCTTCGCACGAAGTTAGTTGTTACTGCTTATTTCCAGTACATGAGTTTTCTGTCAAGAGGAATTGGCCCTTATGGTCAAGCTTGGTTCTGATTGGTTGCAGCCATGGAGGCCTAGGATTCTTGGCCCTTGTTGGCTTAGGACTCAAGGGGGTGGAGTCCCCCGGGGTAGGGCATGACCATTCCATTGGCCATGCTTGCAGAGCACCCAGTTGTTTAAATCTATTGGCTGTAGGCTTGGATAGGCAGAGTTAATTGGGCCGTCACACAACGTCATAGGCTTACGTCACACGACGTCATAGGCTTACGTCACACGACGTCATAGGCTTACGTCACACGACATCTTAGACTTACGTCACACGACGTCATAGGCTTACGTCACACGACTTCATAGGCTTACGTCACACGACGTCATAGGCTTACGTCACACGACGTCATAGGCTTACGTCACACGACATCTTAGACTTACGTCACACGACTTCATAGACTTACGTCACACGACATCATATGGTTCACGTGGGGTTTACCCTGCGTATATCTTAGTTAAACTTAATAAATGTTAGTACATTGTGTTATAATTATAACCTCTATAATCACAAAGAACTAACAACTCTCTAGCTACAGTTGTCATAGAAAATGGTTAACTCATACAATTCATAAACTATCATTTTTATTTTTATTATAACATTTTAACACATTATGGACAAATATTGGGGAAAGTTAACAAATTTTATTCATCATACTATGGCAATAGAGGCCAAACACACACACACACACACACACACACACACACACACACACACACACACACACACACACACACACACACACACACACACACACACACACACACACTCACACACACACACACACACACATACACATACACACACACACACACACACACACACACACACACACACACACACACACACACACACATACACACACACACACACACACACACACACACACACACACACACACACACACACACACACACACACAGTTTTTTTGGACTGTCGGAAAGCCTTTGACACAGTACCCCATAAAAGGATGATGCATAAGCTGGAGAAACAGGCAGGAGTAACTGGTAGGGCGCTCCAGTGGATAAGGGAGTACCTAAGCAATAGGAAGCAGAGAGTTACAGTGAGGGGTGAGACCTCAGAATGGCGTGAAGACGCCAGTGGAGTCCCACAGGGCTCTGTACTTAGACTTATCCTGTTTCTGATATACGTAAATGATCTCCCGGAGGGTATAGACTCATTCCTCTCAATGTTTGCTGACGACGCCAAAATTATGAGAAGGATTAAGACAGAGGAGGACAGCTTGAGGCTTCAAGAAGACCTGGACAAGCTGCGGGAATGGTCGAACAAATGGTTGTTAGAATTTAATCCAAGCAAATGTAATGCAATGAAGATATGGATAGGAAGCAGGAGACCAGATACAAGGTATCATTTGAGAGATGAAATACTTCAAGAGTCAGAGAGAGAGAAAGACCTGGGGGTTGATATCTCGCCAGACCTGTCCCCTGAAACTCATATCAAGAGGATAACATCAGCAGCATATGCCAGGTTGGCTAACATAAGAACGGCCTTTAGAAACTTATGTAAGAATCTTTCAGAACATTATATACCACATATGTCAGACCAATCCTGGAGTATGCGGCTCCAGCATGGAGTTCATATCTAGTCATGTATAAGACTAAACTGGAAAAGGTTCAAAGCTTTGCCACGAGACTAGTACCCGAGCTTAGAGGTATGAGCTACGAGGCTGACTTCTTTATGTGTAGTGCCTCGCAGACATCTAGCCGCCTTGCTATCGCTGTATCTATCGATGATTTCTGTGTTGTTTGCTAAGATTTCTGAAAGAAATCTGAAGATTTCTAAGAAATCTTAGCAAACAACACTGAAATCATCGATAGATACAGCGATAGCAGGCGACTAGATGTCTGCGAGGCACTACACATCAAGAAGTCAACACCAGCAATCAACAGCCAATTAATGCACAACTATATTCTACCCACTTCAAGACTCCGCTCCAATATAGAAGCATCAAGAAATATGGACCAATAGGCTTTTACAATTACTTCCATTCAATACCCATTGTTTTGTGTTCTGTCTTGTGTTGGAATTAAATACCTATTGAATACCCATTGTTGAAAGTTCGTTTTTCACCTCATCCACCTCACCCAAATGTAGATATAAACCTCGAAGATGTGTAAGCTCTATTCAGTTTCAGTTGTGGTTGTAAATTCAAGTCTTTGAAAATGTAATAAGTTTTACGAAACACGCTCAAGTGTCACGTCAGACTAGAAATAAAAATGAATTTTGGGGAATTGATCTTTGAATTACCATCAACAGTGAAAAGAAACATAAGAAAGATAGAGAAAAATCGTGTTAGAATTATTAATCTTACTTTTTCGGTCATATTAATAATATATATATATATATATATATATATATATATATATATATATATATATATATATATATATATATATATATATATATATATATATATATATAAATTATATTATATTTATGTATTGTATCCAGGATATGTGTAAACTGGTCAGAATTGCAGTTCACTTTTGTAAGCGCTGTCTAACGACACCTCGAACACTGTTTATGTTGGACAGCTGTAAAGCAACGTATTAATATATATAGGTTAGAGTAGCATTTTGAAAGCACTAGAGTCACCTACGGTTTATTGTTCAATAAATCACTGAACTATATGTTTAACAGATCTCTAACCCTGTCCATAGAGGTCAGAAGACAATGTATATATGCTGGTTATGTTGTTATTGCTTTAGATTCAGTTACTCGGAACAAAACGTTCCAAGCAGCACGGGCTATGGTGAGCCCGTAGTAGACTTACATTCTGGTTAGCATCTTAAATGTGTGGCCACGTCTGTGGTAGAAAAACCGCTGTGCTTCAAGCAAGCAGAGGCCAGGAGATAGTCACCAATATGACTAGTAGGTGGTCACCATTAACACCATGAGGTGGTCACCATCAGTGTCCCAAGGACCGGATAATGCAGCACCCAGGAGCGCCTGGGGATTGCTGGCCCGTTAGCACAAGCCGGATATTAATAGCCCTCGTTAATATAAATTCGGCTTAGTGGACCAGGGAGCGTCTTAATAAAGTGGTTGAAGTGAGCGTAACTACCGCCTCGTTGGGCATGTTTAGAGCGGGAGGATGTTGAGGGCCCGTACAGCTGTTAACCAGGCTGTTCAAACCCCCCCCCCCCCTCGTTATGTGTTATGTCTCAGTTATCCACTCCCCCTACTGTATGATGTATGCAGGGAGGGGGGACTTACACACACACACACACACACACACACACACACACACACACACACACACACACACACACACACACACACACACACACACACACACACACACACACACACACACACTTTCACTCACTCACAAGGCAAGTGAACTAAGAGAAAGAGCACAAGAAGTAAACCCAGATGTAATCGGACTAACAGAAACAAAACTCTCAGGAATTATAACGAATGCTGTGTTTTCCCAGGACTACACTGTAATAAGGAAAGAGAGGGAAGGAAGGGGAGGAGGCGGAGTGGCCCTACTAATGAGAAAGGAATGGAGTTTCAAGAAGATGGCTATCCCGGACTGTGAGGGGTTCAGAGACAACAAAACAGGCACCACACACACCCTGAGCACCACACACACCCTGAGCACCACACACACCCTGAGCACCACACACCCTGAGCACCACACACCCTGAGCACCACACACACCCTGAGCACTACACACACCCTGAGCACCACACACACCCTGAGCACCACACACCCTGAGCACTACACACACCCTGAGCACCACACACACCCTGAGCACCACACACCCTGAGCACCACACACACCCTGAGCACCACACACACCCTGAGCACCACACACACACTGAGCACCACACACACACTGAGCACTACACACACCCTGAGCACCACACACACCCTGAGCACTACACACACCCTGAGCACCACACACCCTGAGCACCACACACACCCTGAGCACTACACACACCCTGAGCACCACACACACACTGAGCACCACACACACACACTGAGCACTACACACACACCCTGAGCACCACACACACACCCTGAGCACTACACACACCCTGAGCACCACACACCCTGAGCACCACACACACCCTGAGCACCACACACACTGAGCACCACACACACACTGAGCACCACACATACACTGAGCACCACACACACCCTGCGCACCACATACACACTGAGCACCACACACCCTGAGCACCACACACTGAACACCAGAGTGTGGTGTTCAGAGTGTGAGCACCACACACCCTGACCACCACACACACCCTGAGCACCACACACTGAAGACCAGAGTGTGGTGTTCAGAGTGTGAGCACCACACATCCTGAGCACCACACACACCCTGAGCACCACACACTGAAGACCAGAGTGTGGTGTTCAGAGTGTGAGCACCACACACCCTGAGCACCACACACTGAAGACCAGAGTGTGGTGTTCAGAGTGTGAGCACCACACACACCCTGAGCACCACACACAACCTGATCACCACACACACCCTGAGCACCACACACACACCTTGAGCACTACACACACCCTGAGCACCACACACTGAACACCAGAGTGTGGTGTTCTGAGTGTGAGCACTACACGCTGAACACCAGAGTGTGGTGTTCAGAGTCTGAGCACCACACACTGAACACCACAGTGTGGTGTTCTGAGTGTGAGCACTACACGCTGAACACCAGAGTGTGGTGTTCAGAGTCTGAGCACCACACACTGAACACCACAGTGTGGTGTTCAGAGTCTGAGCACCACACACTGAACACCAGAGTGTGGTGTTCAGAGTGTGAGCACCACATAGGGGATAAGACCACCACCTTGACCATGTACATGTACTCCTGGCTACAGGATGGCGAAGGAGTGTCCTACCGGGAGCGGGGTGGAGTGTGGCCGCACCACAGAGCAGCTGCGGGAGCTGGTGCGTCGCCTGCCTCGCCACCACCTGAGCTGCCTGGCTCTCCTCATGCACCACCTGCACCGCCTCTCCCTCCACGCCGACCTCAACAACATGCCCTCCTCTAACTTAGGTGAGTCGCCTCTCTCTTCTCCTGCAGAGGATTGCTCTCTGACGCAGAGGTGTCAAGAGTAACCTGGGCTTATGCTGACCTCCTGACCGAGGTGACCAATCACAGGACGGGGATGGCTCACGGGTGTGTCAGACTCAGTTCAGTTGGGCAGCAGGATGCTGCTACTGAAATCTTTCCCTATCAACACTACTCATAGCTGAGTGGATAGAGCAGGTGTTATTTAACATATTGTGGAATGTATCAGAATTAGTGCCCAACTGGTTCAGTCAGTGGAACGACGTGGCCTAGACATGAGAATATTTTGCCCTGGTGCTTTACTAGTCTGGGGGGAACCTAACCCACCTATTTCCTTGGTGAGTGATCGACTTAAGCTGTTGGGCATTTAAGTAAAAGATTTAATTAATTGTAAAGAGCACTTGCAGGAGATTGCTGCGTGTGACGTCACTCAGTTATACATTTCTCGTTCATTAAATGTTAGAATGTGTTGAGAGCCGCGTGCTGCTGATGTTAATGTGTGGGCTGGAGCAGTTATTCTCCCTCCCTCACACCATCACTCCCCTCTCCCTCCCTCGCACCATCACTCCCTCACACCATCATCCCCCACGCCCCCCTCACACCATCACCCCCTCCTCCTACAAGAGATAATGACCCCCGCCCCTTCGTGCAGGTATAGTGTTCGGGCCGACGTTGCTGCGGACGTCAGAGGGGTCGGCGTCTCTCAGCTCGCTGGTCGACACTGTGCATCAGACCAGAGCTATTGAGCTCCTTATTATGTTCGCTAATGAGATCTTCGGCCAGCCGGAGCTCTACCAGGTGAGTATTGGCCCTGGGGCACGCTGTGTGTGTGTGGGTGTGTGTGTGGGTGTGTGTGTGTGTGTGTGTGTGTACTTATCTGGTAGGTGTGCTTGCGGGGGTTGAGCTCTGGCTCTTTGGTCCCGCCTCTCAACTGTCAATCAACTGTTACTAACTACTAGCTAATGTGTAACAACTACTTACTAGTGTGTAACCAGTTACTCACCCTACTAGTGTGTGTGTGTATGCTCACCTATTTGTGCCTGCAGGATCGAGCATTGACTCTTGGATCCCGCCTTTCTAACCATCGGTTGTTTACAACAATGACTCCGGTCCTATTTCTCTATCATATCTAGTTTTAAAATTATGAAAATAATTTGCTTCCACAACCTGCTCCTTAAGTGCATTCCATTTTTCACTACTCTCACGCTAAAAGAATACTTTTAACAATTCTAAAAGAATACTTTTAACATCTCCTAACATCTCTGTGACTACCTAAGTCATAAAAGTATTTGTGTGTACGTCTGATACCATACTACTTGTGTAAAGGAGGAATTGTATATGTTTATCTCTCAGAATGTTCGGCAATATGTTTATTGTTTGTGATGTGTGTCTATATATGTATGAACACGTTGTACTGAACGGGGCGAGAATAGCTTGAGCTACATCATCCCTTTGTGTGTATTTTACCCCAGTAAATTTATTTAAAATACAATTTCAATTTCGCTTTGACTCATCTGAGTTTCCAGCTTCCACCCGTGTCCCCTCGTTCTGTAAGTATTTCGTGTGAACATTTCATCTATGTCCACTGCCAATCCCCCTTGAGTATTTTAACGTTCCTATCATATCCCCCTTTCTCCCTTCTTTTTTCTAGTGCCGTAATGCTCAGTTCATTCAGGCGCTCTTCATACTCCATCCCTCGTAACGCTGGGACTAGTCTTTCAAACTTCTGAACCTTTTTCAGTTTCCTTATGTGTTTCTTCAGATGGGGACTCCATGATGGGGCGGCATACTCTAAGACTGGACTCTCGTAGGAAGTGTAAAGCGCCCTAAATGCTTCTTTATTTAGGTTTGTGTGTGTGTGTGTGTGTGTGTGTGTGTGTGTGTGTGTGTGTGTGTGTGTGTGTGTGTGTGCTCACCTAGTTGTGCTCACCTAGTTGTGTCTGCAGGATCGAGCATTGACTCTTGGATCCCGCCTTTCGAGCATCGGTTGTTTACAGCAATGACTCCTGTCCCATTTCCCTAACCTACCTGGTTTTAAAATTATGAATAGTATTTGCTTCCACAACCTGTTCCTGAAGTGCATTCCATTTTCCCACTACTCTCACGCTAAAAGAAAACTTCCTAACATCTCTGTGACTCATCTGAGTTTCAAGCTTCCATCCATGTCCTCTCGTTCTGTTACTATTCCGTGTGAACATTTCGTCTATGTCCACTCTGTCAATCCCTCTGAGTATCTTATACGTTCCTATCATGTCCCCCCTCTCCCTTCTTCTTTCTAGTGTCGTAAGGCACAGTTCCCTCAAGCGCTCCTCATACCCCATCCCTCGTAGCTCTGGGACGAGTCTCGTTGCAAACCTCTGAACCTTTTCCAGTTTCATTATATGCTTCTTCAGATGGGGACTCCATGATGAGGCGGCATACTCTAAGACTGGCCTTACGTAGGCAGTGTAAAGCGCCCTAAATGCCTCCTTACTTAGGTTTCTGAATGATGTTCTAACTTTTGCCAGTGTAGAGTACGCTGCTGTCGTTATCCTATTTATATGTGCCTCAGGAGATAGATTAGGTGTTACATCCACCCCCAGGTCTCTTTCACGCATCGTTACAGGTAGGCTGTTCCCTTTCATTGTGTACTGTCCCTTTGGTCTCCTATCTCCTTGTCCCATTTCCATAACTTTACATTTGCTCGTGTTGAATTCCAGTAGCCATTTCTCTGACCATCTCTGCAACCTGTTCAGGTCCTCTTGGAGGATCCTGCAATCCTCATCTGTCACAACTCTTCTCATCAACTTTGCGTCATCCGCAAACATCGACATGTAGGACTCTACGCCTGTAAACATGTCGTTAACATATACAAGAAATAGAATTGGTCCCATCCACCGATGTGTGTGTGTGTGTGTGTGTGTGTGTGTGTGTGTGTGTGTGTGTGTGTGTGTGTGTGTGTGAGGTTAACCTGGATGGAGGGAGCCCCAAGAGTGTGCACACACAGACTAACACGCATCTTTTCCTCAGATTCCGACAGTAGCAGCTGGCGTCCGGCCCCAGGGTGTAGAGGAGAGGGTCCGACACCCCCCACCAAGGTCAGTGGTCAACCCCACTCTAGTGATGTTAGTAGTCCACCCCACGGTAGTGAGTTTAGTGGTCCACCCCACTCTAGTGATGTTAGTAGTCCACCCCACGGTAGTGAGGTTAGTGGTCCACCCCACGGTAGTGAGGTTAGTGGTCCACCCCACGGTAGGGAGGTTAGTGGTCCACCCCACGGTAGGGAGGTTAGTGGTCCACCCCACGGTAGGGAAGTTAGTGGTCCACCCCACGGTAGGGAGGTTAGTGGTCCACCCCACGGTAGTGAGGTTAGTGGTCCACCCCACGGTAGGGAAGTTAGTGGTCCACCCCACGGTAGTGAGGTTAGTGGTCCACCCCACGGTAGTGAGGTTAGTGGTCCACCCCACGGTAGGGAAGTTAGTGGTCCACCCCACGGTAGGGAGGTTAGTGGTCCACCCCACGGTAGTGGTGTTAGTGGTCCACCCCACGGTAGTGAGGTTAGTGGTCAACCCCACTCTAGGGAGGTCAGTGGTCCACCCCACGGTAGTGATGTTAGTGGTCCACCCCACGGTAGTGATGTTAGTGGTCCACCCCACGGTAGTGAGGTTAGTGGTCCACCCCACGGTAGGGAAGTTAGTGGTCCACCCCACGGTAGGGAGGTTAGTGGTCCACCCCACGGTAGTGGTGTTAGTGGTCCACCCCACGGTAGTGAGGTTAGTGGTCAACCCCACTCTAGGGAGGTCAGTGGTCCACCCCACGGTAGTGATGTTAGTGGTCCACCCCACGGTAGTGATGTTAGTGGTCCACCCCACGGTAGTGAGGTTAGTGGTCCACCCCACGGTAGTGATGTTAGTGGTCCACCCCACGGTAGTGAGGTTAGTGGTCCACCCCACGGTAGTGATGTTAGTGGTCCACCCCACGGTAGTGAGGTTAGTGGTCCACCCCACGGTAGTGATGTTAGTGGTCCACCCCACAGTAGGGAGGTTAGTGGTCCACCCCACGGTAGTGATGTTAGTGGTCCACCCCACGGTAGGGAGGTTAGTGGTCCACCCCACTCTAGGGAGGTTAGTGGTCCACCCCACGGTAGTGAGGTTAGTGGTCCACCCCACTCTAGGGAGGTTAGTGGTCCACCCCACGGTAGGGAGGTTAGTGGTCCACACCACGGTAGGGAGGTTAGTGGTCCACCCCACGGTAGTGAGGTTAGTGGTCCACCCCACTCTAGGGAGGTTTGTGGTCCACCCCACTCTAGGGAGGTTAGTGGTCCACCCCACGGTAGTGAGGTTAGTGGTCAACCCCACGGTAGTGATGTTAGTGGTCCACCCCACGGTAGTGATATTAGTGGTCCACCCCACGGTAGTGAGGTTAGTGGTCCACCCCACTCTAGGGAGGTTAGTGGTCCACCCCACTCTAGGGAGGTTAGTGGTCCACCCCATGCTAGGGAGGTTAGTGGTCCACTCCATGCTAGGGAGGTTAGTGGTCCACCCCACTCTAGGGAGGTTAGTGGTCCACCCCACTCTAGGGAGGTTAGTGGTCCACCCCACTCTAGGGAGGTTAGTAGTCCACCCCACGGTAGTGAGGTTAGTGGTCCACCCCACTCTAGGGAGGTTAGTGGTCCACCCCACTCTAGGGAGGTTAGTGGTCCACCCCACTCTAGGGAGGTTAGTGGTCCACCCCATGCTAGGGAGGTTAGTAGTCCACCCCACTCTAGGGAGGTTAGTGGTCCACCCCACTCTAGGGAGGTTAGTGGTCCACCCCACTCTAGGGAGGTTAGTGGTCCACCCCATGCTAGGGAGGTTAGTAGTCCACCCCACGGTAGTGAGGTTAGTGGTCCACCCCACTCTAGGGAGGTTAGTGGTCCACCCCATTCTAGGGAGGTTAGTGGTCCACCCCACTCTAGGGAGGTTAGTGGTCCACCCCACTCTAAGGAGGTTAATGGTCCACCCCACTGTAGGGAGGTTAGTGGTCCACCCCACTCTAGGGAGGTTAGTGGTCCACCCCACTCTAGGGAGGTTAGTGGTCCACCCCACTCTAGGGAGGTTAGTGGTCAACCCCACTCTAGGGAGGTTAGTGGTCCACCCCACTCTAGGGAGGTTAGTGGTCCACCCCACTCTAGGGAGGTTAGTGGTCCACCCCACTCTAGGGAGGTTAGTGGTCCACCCCACTCTAGGGAGGTTAGTGGTCCACCCCACTCTAGGGAGGTTAGTGGTCCATCCCACTCTAGGGAGGTTAGTGGTCCACCCCACTCTAGGGAGGTTAGTGGTCCACTCCACTCTAGGGAGGTTAGTGGTCCACCCCACTCTAGGGAGGTTAGTGGTCAACCCCACTCTAGGGAGGTTAGTGGTCAACCCCACTCTAGGGAGGTTAGTGGTCAACCCCCCTCTAGGGAGGTTAGTGGTCCACCCCACTCTAGGGAGGTTAGTGGTCCACCCTACACTAAAGACACAAGGTTCTTAGGTAAGGTTTGCTCTTATATTTCTAACGTTAGTTTTAACGCAAATTAAAAAAAACATATATATATATATACATATATATATATATATATATATATATATATATATATATATATATATATATATATATATATATATATATATATATAATAGATGGCAGATGAGTCCCGGGTAGATGGGACTCGATAGCCTGGGAAGGCAGCCCGTCTAGGGAAAAGAAAACCCTGATTCTAAACCTCCGCTACCTTGCGGCCATAACCCTATTTTGGGAAAGGCTGCAGGAGACAACCTCGAGGAAAAATCCGGAGTTGGAGCCCCTAAGGCAGTTCGTTGTCGGTTTCGACCTCGTTCTGGCAGCTCCTGCGACGGTGCTGGAGCCATGTGTATTGGTGTTATTTACCATACCGTTCATTTCGTGAGTATAGTTTATTATTTTTTTGTTCATTTCGTTATTTTAACTATTCTTATTTTGCATTGATGGGAGCATCAGATCATTTGACGTTCCCAATTTTCTGATGGAAACATCAGATCATTTGGGAATGCATCGGACGAGGGAGTTGGGAATGGTACGGAGGACGAGGGGACAGGAGTGGGGGATGGTGGGGAGGACGATGGGACAGGGGAGGGGATATATATATATATATATATATATATATATATATATATATATATATATATATATATATATATATATATATATATATATATGTCGTACCTAGTAGCCAGAACGCACTTCTCAGCCTACTATTCAAGGCCCGATTTGCCTAATAAGCCAAGTTTTCATGAATTAATGTTTTTTCGACTACCTAACCTACCTAACCTAACCTAACCTAACTTTTTTCGGCTACCTAACCTAACCTAACCTATAAAGATAGGTTAGGTTAGGTTAGGTAGGGTTGGTTAGGTTCGGTCATATATCTACGTTAATTTTAACTCCAATAAAAAAAAATTGACCTCATACACAAGAGAAAAGGGTTGCTTTATCATTTCATAAGAACAAAATTATATGCATAAATATATTAATTCAGGAAAACTTGGCTTATTAGGCAAATCGGGCCTTGAATAGTAGGCTGAGAAGTGAGTTCTGGCTACTAGGTACGACTTGAATAGTATATATATATATATATATATATACATATATATATATATATATATATATATATATATATATATATATATATATATATATATATATATATATATATATATATATATATATATTATTAAATATGACCGAAAAAGTAAGATTAATAATTCTAACACGAATTTTCTCAATCTTTCGTACATTACGCTTCACTGTTGGAGGTAAATCAAAAATCAATTCTCCAAAATTCATTTTTATTTCTAGTCTGACGCGACACGGGCGCGTTTCGTAAAACTTATTACATTTTCAAAGACTTTAGTTCACAAATACACAACTGAATAGAACTTACGTATCTCCGATTTTATATCTACATTTGAGTGAGGTGGAAGGGGTGATGTGGCATTAACACAAGACAGAACAAAATGTGGTATTAATAGGGTATTAATTTCATCAACACAAGACAGAACAAGAGTATTAATAGGGTATTAATTTCATCAACACAAGACAGAACACGAAACAATGGATATTGAATAGAAGTGTTTGTAGAAAGCCTATTGGTCCATATTTCTTGATGCTTCTATATTGGAGCGGAGTCTTGAGGTGGGTAGAATATAGTTGTGCAATAATTGGCTGTTGATTGCTGGTGTTGACTTCTTGATGTGTAGTGCCTCGCAAACGTCAAGCCGCCTGCTATCGCTGTATCTATCGATGATTTCTGTGTTGTTTACTAGGATTTCTCTGGCGATGGTTTGGTTGTGGGAAGAGATTATATGTTCCTTAATGGAGCCCTGTTGCTTATGCATCGTTAAACGCCTAGAAAGAGATGTTGTTGTCTTGCCTATATACTGGGTTTTTTGGAGCTTACAGTCCCCAAGTGGGCATTTGAAGGCATAGACGACGTTAGTCTCTTTTAAAGCGTTCTGTTTTGTGTCTGGAGAGTTTCTCATGAGTAGGCTGGCCGTTTTTCTGGTTTTATAGTAAATCGTCAGTTGTATCCTCTGATTTTTGTCTGTAGGGATAACGTTTCTATTAACAATATCTTTCAGGACCCTTTCCTCCGTTTTATGAGCTGTGGAAAAGAAGTTCCTGTAAAATAGTCTAATAGGGGGTATAGGTGTTGTGTTAGTTGTCTCTTCAGAGGTTGCATGGCTTTTCACTTTCCTTCTTATGATGTCTTCGACGAAACCATTGGAGAAGCCGTTATTGACTAGGACCTGCCTTACCCTACAGAGTTCTTCGTCGACTTGCTTCCATTCTGAGCTGTGGCTGAGAGCACGGTCGACATATGCGTTAACAACACTCCTCTTGTACCTGTCTGGGCAGTCGCTGTTGGCATTTAGGCACATTCCTATGTTTGTTTCCTTAGTGTAGACTGCAGTGTGGAAACCTCCGCCCTTTTCCATGACTGTTACATCTAGAAAGGGCAGCTTCCCATCCTTTTCCATCTCGTAAGTGAAACGCAGCACGGAACTCTGCTCAAATGCCTCCTTCAGCTCCTGCAGAT